ATGCGCGCCCCATGCACACAAGTGCGGCTCGCCGGTCGATCTATGCGAATAAACACACATGAAAGTACAAGTTCCCCACCATTCACACCGTTTAGTTTGGCGCTTTGACTTGCTGGATTATGCGGCAATAAAGATGTCCCTTTTAGCACTGTTTGCATATTTCCGTCTTCTCTATTACACTTCTCTATTTAAAACTCGCTTCTTTATTCTTCGAATTGTTCCACTTCCCAGGAAACGGGGGCCGTCTGGACGTTGGTTAGACAGAAATGAGTGATTGCCTGTAGTAGAAGGCAATTATTCCTGATGTAGATAGTTAGCATTCTGGATCTAGCTACTTGGCGAACGTTGTAAACGATGGGCATGATCGGCGACCTTTTCTCTGATAATCTTCTGTCCCTTATGTCTGTATAAGACCCTCTTCAACTATTTCAGGTCTTATTTTACTCCAAGTGACGGCCCAGACATTACCATTTTCTGCAAGGCTGTCATCTAACATAGAAGACCTAGTGATTTCTAGGTGCGTGGGTTGTCTGAACTACTCATTTATACGCTGAATACAAAGAGTCATGCTCTGAGATCCCACCTACTGTTAGACCATAGCCGTTATCCTATTTTTTTGAACTCGTATCCCCAGTAAGGATTACTATATTGAAGTCAGTCCCGTTTTGTTGACTGTAACGTTAAATGCCCGACCGGCATCCGGAGTAGTGTTCAACGCAACATGGTGAGACACGACGCCTTTCACCTAAGTTGACCGTCTACCTAGTTAATCTAACATATTTTTTAAACATATACTTTGCACTTTGCTCATCTACTGTCACGGGTGTTGCGTTAGAGCCAAATAGGCTCCAGAGAAGGTGTGTAGTACGCGTTAAATAAGTACACTATGTCAAATCATTTCCAATCCACTTGATTCCACATGCTGGTAGAGGGAAGGTATAATTAGGCGAATTGCGCCTACTTTAGCCATTAGGACAAATTTAGTTGCACTGGTCTGGGCAACTGTGACTCCATGACATTTATTTGTCGAATTGATTTGAAAGTGCACTCTGACCACACCTGCAAGCGCTTTTGTATTCACTCAGACCAGTTGGCGGTGAAATACACTCAACATCAAAATACCAAGCTCCAATGTTTAGCTGGAGACGCACACATCAAGCGATGTAAATTCCTTGGCAAACATTCCATTGCCAAGGAGTTGAAAAAGTAATGCATGAATTTGCTTCGTTTTGCTTGCATAAACGAGCTGCACACGTACCTGTTACTTTTCAAAACAATGTAGCTACAAAGTCTCCCGCCTTTCTATTGTCAGGGACTGTTTTTTTTAGCTCAACGAATAGGTGGGGCCTTTCCACAAGAAAGTTCTTCGCATCTTCCATTTGCTTTACGTGACAGGTACTATTGATCTCGATACTCTAACCATATTATTCCAGTGCCATAAAGGGATCAGTAGTATCCATGGTTTCGATAATTGAAATTTGCGTTCCTTTCGAACTTTATTCAGGTATTTGCCTTTTGTGTCTTTTCAGCGATACGCCCAACGGCAGGGATCTACACCGTCTCTTCCGGCTACCACCATTCCACAACCTTCACGCAGCTCCTTCGCTGATATTCCGGACAGGAGTCCTCACCTGCGTAAAACTCTTATTCCTTGCGCTCCTTCCCAAGAAACCGACTCCATAACCCCAAATCGTCCTACAACCAAAGAAATCTCAGGCTCCTTCACTTCGGCTCCTAAGAGGCGGCTAGAAGATTCTATTTCTGATCCCAACGAACTCATTCCGAATGTCTCCTCAAACAAGCAGCACAAACTCACCGACTCAGAGCCCGAATCTTCATTCCCATCTTCAAAATCCTCTAATTCCACTGCTGCCTCCACCCGACCACCCAAGGTTTCTCGTAAACTTCCACAAAAACCAGCTTCCCCCGTCCTTACTGATATCGGCTGTGGTCGACCAGTCGAGCCGACAGAAGAAGGCTTTGACAGTAAGCGTGCTTCCCCTACTTACACCAAACGTCCTACGTCCGCGGAACTGCGCCCTGCCGCACCCTCTTCAAATGGTGCGTCGCTTTCGTTCTGCGAGCAAGTTAATGGATCTAGCGGTGACAGTGCGTACTATACTAGCAATGGAATTGCTGGCGGTTTTAGCAGCAGCGGTAGCAGCATAAATGGGTCAGCTGGCGGCCCCTGTGCTAGATCTTCGATGGAAGATGCCCACACGAACTCTCAAGTCTCCAGACGAAGACCACCCGTGGGCTGTGGCAGCGAGGCGGGCAGTTGTGGTGACAGCAACGTTCCCTCCCCACAGACACCACCCCCTCAAGATACCCGACCGCCTGGTAAGTTGGTGTGACCTATCGGTCTAATAATTTTATATGCTCTTCACCAGTATTTACTTACCTATTTCCCACTAAATGTTAAACGGTTCCTACTGTGGAACCCTGCCGTCTCGAACTCTTTGGGTCGACTAGCGTCGTACTTGCCGGCCGAGGCTACACCGGCCCTGGCTTTGGTCGCCTGACGTTAGACATCAGACATTAATGTTCTTTAAAGCACCCATACTTTCTTACAAAACAATGCTGCTAAAAAAACTACCAAATTCACCTGTTTTCTTTCCTGGAACTTCTTGAGATTAGGCAATTTCTTATTCTACATACCATCCACAACTACCGTTTCATCCCTCTAAGGCTTACATCATCTCCCCGTCCATAAATTAGGCATTTATTAGTATATTCAGAGCTACTAATCGCTCCTACCAAGTGCAAAATGCTGCCAAGAATTGACCAGAGTCGGCTCATAATCCTAAAGTTACCGGTTTTCTGATAGTGGATAGCATCAGTTTCCACGACATCGCCTGCTGCAATTGAGAAAGAGTTGCGCACCTATCATTGTGAATGTAAAAAAGGGATTGCCTTCCGCTCATTTTGTTAGCTTTCGGTCATCTTAGTCTTACAAACCGAAAACAGCGTCTCTTTCCGATTTATCTGCTACTCCAGTTGCGTAAGAATTTAACGAACCGGTGTGACCACGCCATAAAGTACGAACTCCATATTCCAGGTTCGAATCCGGATTTAGTTGCTGTAGTTTACCATAACTGAAGAAAAAGGTAAACTAGGTAGCTCAAAATATGTGGAATGCGTGACTGAGGACAATTAAAACCACCGTTCCCACGTCCGTCTATAAATGTCAGGCAGGACATCCAACTGTTATATGCTGATCGTTTTTATTGCTTGCCTTTGGTTATTCACCCTAAAGGCCTAGTTCCTGTCTACCCTTGCGTGCAAATTGTCGAAAACGGACATAAGCCTATCCCACAGTTATTTAACAGTGTCCCTAAAAATCGAAAGTAATGCTTACAAACATCGATTCTCCGAAGATGTTGACCTTATAGATCTTACTATTCGATCAATAATCCGTCACGCACCATGTAACGGTTTACGTCTATTTACCACCTCCTTTTTGAGTGGACTTTGCAGGGTGTGCACCCTAGTCACACCCGCTATTATTATGCGCACACACTTGCAGGTGCAGGAGTCAGAGGTACAAGTCTCCTGACGCACTACTTTGTGTAGTAAGATGCAGACCTCGAGCTAACCCTCTACGCCGTAGGTGTGTCCCCCAGGCTCTACCAGAGATGTGCAATCTAGGTCTGTTATGTGGGGTAGAAACCGGTAACTGTGTTATCTACCCTAGACAATCATTCGCCTTCTATCCGTAATTAGCCTCCCTGTTAATTATGAAAGACAATTTTAGTTGTCATCCTCCTGCATCATGGTCATAAAAGTATAAGAGGTACATAGTAATAGAAAATAGGCTGTAAGCGAATTTTGTTAAGTCTATGTATAAAAGCAATTAATAATCTCTGCTTTCGGCGTCTGTTCTTCAGAAAGCCACCAGTGGGTCCTCGGTAGTCGTAAGGATCATAACTGTGGACCACATGATTTATGAAAAGTGACATCATCCGCAACTACGAAGGCGGTTGCATTACTCACAAATTGAACTTGTTTTAAAACCCATTTTTGCCTTATTTTTGTGTAGTTCAGCAAAAATAACCCGCATACAGGAGAGGCGGACCACATTGACAGTTTATTCAAGCGTTGAAAGTCTCTAATAAGTTATGTGAAAAACCCGGGTCGCGCCAGCCACCTGTACCCTCCCCCATCTCCGATCTCTTTGACTTAGTCATGACACCGGGTATGGGCGGGTGTGGGTAGAGGAAATGCAGTAGATGCTGCGAAAGTCCTCTATCAGTTAAAACGAATCCACGCGTTTGTTTCCAGCTTCCAGCCTGCAGTGAAGCACACAGTAAACCATTTTTGAAATCAACGGTCGAACTGTCATGTAAAAGACTACCCCAGGTACTGGCTTCTGGGTGGAAAACGCGGGGATGATCTTTATGGTAAAAGATACAATAAGTCGGTCAGCAGATTTTGGCGTCGGAATTTTATCTATAGCGACGTCAGCCCTTCAGACGGCGTTGTCATTAGCCAGAAATGGCATTCAAGCTGCGAAAAAAGGAGTGTTTTTTACTGTATCCCATGCGCCGGTTGCTCTTACTTCTACATCACCTATTCAGTTCACCGTCTCGGTAAACGTAAACTGGCGGCCTGGCTACGCGTCCTATCATGTCTCTTCCTCTTATACGTAATTGAGGGCAATCGTCGCTCCAACTGGGTTNNNAATAACGTTATCAGTAAGGCTGCAGCTACTTCTTCGAGTCCGGGCATTGTAATGCAAACAGTGTTGCACATACAAGCGAACATCCGTGTCCCAGGAAGCAATTGAGAAGAAGAAGACTCG